CAGCTTTCAAGTTCAAGTTCAAGCGGGACTGGAACGATAGGATAGATCCCGTGAGTGTTCCTTCTTCGGCGGGTCGTTGAACCAGGAGTTGGCGAACTTTGAAATACTGATGGACCTAAAACAAAGACCGCATCACACCCTGTCCAACCAATTAATGCCCACGTATCCTGCCCTAGCAGTCCCTGCTGGGTCGGTTACGTGAAGTAAGAAAGAGAAAAAAGTAAACGCAGGAGGCAAAAGAGAAAGTGATAAGAGCTAAGCAAATGGAATACCAAGATATTTGAGTCAATAAAAAAAGAACTGAAAAATGAAGGTGAGTCAGCTAGGAAAAAGGAAAGGTTTGCTGTTGCCACCCAAGAGCATCGAGCTGGCGCGCAAAACCCTTAACCGTAGGTTCCCTAACCACGTGATCTGGAAGAGAATTCCAGCGATCTATAACTCGGCGCGATAGACGAGTTTCCGTCCTAATCCTATCAGACCGTGGTTTATGCAGTTTCAGTGGGTGACCGCGGAGACTAGGTAACGTAGCGGGACTAAAAAGCCCTGACAAGTCCGGGCCAATCTTACCCGTCAAAATACGATAAGTGAGAATCAGGTCCCCTCTTATCCTTCGGTAGTGCATGGAGTACATCCCCAAACTGAGCAAGCGTTCAGGATACGTCTGTCCCCGTAGACCCTGCACTAACCGAGTGCCCACTCGTAACACCCTCTCCAAGTCCATTTTGTCTCGGTTAAGACATGGTGGACAAGCCTGAATACAATATTCCAGGTGGGGTCGGACGAATGCCGAAAATAGCTTCACAAACAACTTGGCCGTTAAGATTCCGAAAGAGCGGCGGATAAACCACATCATACGAAACCCTCGACAAGCAGCCTTCTTCCAGTTGTCTCCAGAATGAAGTGCTGATGCGTGTACGACTCCTAAATCAACCTGCTGAGTGACAACAGGGAGTTCACCACCGCCGAGAACATATCGGGTGGGAGGATTAGCAGCTCCGATTCGGAGAACAGAGCACTTGGCCCTATTTATGGGCATCAACCATAAGATAGACCATTCCCAGAGTATATCCAAGGCACGCTGAATTGCCTCAGGACCCCCCGGGATATCCACAATATTCCAGAGCTTAAGGTCGTCAGCAAACATTAATGATGACACCCCTAGCTCTCCCGGCAAGTCATTTACATAGATCGCGAACAACAATGGCCCCAATACCGAGCCCTGCGGAACGCCACTAAGGACAGCTTGCCTGAGCGAAAGGCTACGCCCCACCCGTACGCACTGTTCCCTCCCCTCAAGGAAGGCAGACACCCATTGAAGGGCGCGACCAGATATCCCGTAAGATCTCAACTTTAGTGAGAGCCGAAGATGTGGAACAGTGTCAAAAGCTTTCGAAAAATCTACGAATAGCACGTCTACAGCGTGGCCACTGTCTACCGCTTCGGCCCAGCTTTCACGAGCTACAAGTAAATTAGTCTGACATGAAAATCCTTTGCGGAATCCATGTTGTGCAACACTGAGAAGGTTGAATCGATTCAGGTGGTTCTCCACTGAATCCCTTATCAGCTTCTCGAACAATTTGACTACTACGCTTGTCAAACTGACAGGCCGGTAGTTCGCGGGTAGAGCGCTGTCACCGCCCTTAAAAATCGGAGAGATGATTGCCTCCTTCCATTCCGAAGGTAGGCTGCAGCTGTCCAGCGATATTGAAAATACGCACGTGAGCGGACCACTCAGCTCAGTGGCCAGTTCATGCAACAGCTTCGGATGAATTGAATCAGGACCGGAAGCTTTAGAGGGATTAATGCCTTGCAGTAGCTCGAAGACCTGAGTCTCCGTTATGCTAAATTCAGCTAAGCAAGAATCCTCTGGAACTCTTGAAACCAATTCAACCTGCGGTAAAGAGGTCTCCCGAGCAAAGACCGCAGTATACTGATCACTCAGTATACAAGCCTTGTCATAGTCAGTTTGCGCAGGGGTCCCGTCTGCTCGCAATAAAGCTGGTATAGACAATTTTGCCCCGCTGCGTCTTTTAACGTAAGCAAAAAACTTCTTGGGATTAGCTGCGGCCGAGTCCGCTAAACCCTGCTCGTATTGGAGACGAGCAGTTCTGAGATGTTGCTTACATTTATTTCTATTCTCTCGATAACTATCATAGGTACTGGCTGATGGAGCTGCTTGGTAGGTTCGCCAGCATCTAGACCGTTTCTTGAGTAGGTACTTGCCTGTGGTATCTATCCATGGAGGCTGTGCCCTTAACCCTCTTTTCCTAATGAGTGGAATATAGGGTGCGGAAACCTCCGTAAGGTATGCCTTAAATTTATCCCAGGCTAACTGGACAGAGTCAGCCATCGAAATCTCACAGTTCAGAACTGAAGCCTTAGTTCGCATTGCACTAAAGTCCGCCCGCCAAATATTCGGAAGTAATTCAACAGCGGTCTCTTGGTGCCTTGAAAGAGCACATCGAAAGGATATGCATACGTGATCGCTGGACCCTAGAGGTGCACCGCATGAAACGTCAGTCACGAAGTCCAGGGACTTAGCGAAAACCAAATCCAAAGTAGATGGCATTTGGTTGTCCATATACCTAGTGGGAAAGTCAACGAACTGGTGCAAAGGCACTTGGAGAGTCAGTTCAAGGAAGTCTGCACCGAATGTTCCTAATGCCGAATTGCAAGAAAGATCGGCCCAACAGACTTCCGGGAGGTTGAAATCCCCTAGAACTAAACACTTATTCGCAGACTGAGTGCGAATAAAGTCAAGTATCCCCCTGGAGGAACTTCCAGGACTTCTGTATACCACTATAACTGTAAACTGGGTAGAGGAAGTGCACAAAACAGCCGATAGGGCTTCAACAGTCTGATCCGACGACTGGAATGTGCAAGTCCTCAACACATCTAAGTTACAGCTCACATACAGTACAACGCCTCCGCCTTGGCGACCAACGGAGCGATCAGTTCTAAGCAGCGCGTAGCCAGGTAAATATACCTCACCGTCCGTGATATCCGGAGACAACCACGTCTCAGTGAAAGCAAGTATGTCGGGACGAGATTTGTCTACAAGTAGACCCAACTCGTGCACCTTGTTCCTTAGGCTACGCACGTTGCTAAGTACTACCTCAAGGAAGTCGGCACGACCATCCCTGGGTCGTGCGCCATCAGGATTGGTTCTGATAGGGCGGAAAGTAATTTCCGGCTGACCACCTGAAAACCCACCAGACGGAGGCCTTGCTCACCAGCCGCCCGTCTAGTTTTGAGGTCTTTAATAGCCTCCTTTAACTTCAACCTATCTGCCAGTGGGAGGTCCGGCTGAACGCTGACACCACTACCCTTAAGTTTGAATGCAAATCGCAGTAACGATTTGCGTTCCTCCGGGGTAGAAAGGACTACGCGAAGTAGTCGGGGTCGTGGATTTGGCGTAGCGATAGGAACGTTCCCCAATCTGGTCAGCTTTCTGACAGTGACACCAGGGAAACCAGGTGGAAGCAGCTTGCTGACACACAGTTTCAGCCACTTGATGTCATCCAAGATGCGTTCCCTTGGGAGAACAGCCTCAGATTCAGTAACGTTACGGAATATAACGCTACTATCCGTGAAAGAGTCGGCACGACGGGGAGTGTTTACCCCACGTGCCTTTGATTCGACACCTATACCAGCTGTTTTCACCACTGGCGGTGGGACTGTCGCTGGCTTCCCAAACGACGCCGAAGCAACGGTAGCGTAGGTTTTCCGCTCTATTGCCGGCGTCTTACTGGTTCCAGGGTCTTCAAGCCCCTTCGAAGTTTTACGAGCAGATCTTGTCCGCTTCTTCTTTTGGCTCACTGGAGCAGGGGCCGTTGACTTTGTATCGCATTGGGCAGTTACCAGCATTTCGTCAGAACAGGCTGGTTCACTGGCGGCCGAGACAGTCAGCGTCTGTGGAAAGTTCTGTGTGCAATCTTCAGACGACTTTACGACTGTCAAAGACGGCATCTCGTTCGATGCCGTGGCAACTATTTCTCTGGGTTTAGCAGAGGGCTTTTGGTATTTCCGCACCCTATTTTTCTTCACTTTGATCGGATCATGAGGACCGCCAGCAATGCTACCTGGATTGGCCGGTAGGATGTGCGACTTTATGATCGAGTGACAGACTCCAGTGGATGG